TGGTGAGATGGGATAACGGTTTGGATCTTTGTGTGCACGTGCAGCAAATGCAGCAACATGAGCAGTGTGCCCAGAGGTTAGACTGAGAGTTTTAAAAATTAAAATATCCTGAGCCTCTGATTTAACTTCTCGAGGAGACATACTAAGTTGGCAGAGGAAACATCCTGGATTATTCTCGACCCCATTTTTTTTTTTTTTCTTTGTGCAAAGGGAATTGGGGGGTAAAAGGGGTTGGGGGGGGGGGGTGGGGGAGAAGGAATGGAGGTAAAAGGATTGGAACTTAATAATATGAATGAAAAGTTTACAAAGTGATCATACGAATCAAATATTAAGATTCGAAACTATGATGCCTTTATACTAATGTATAGTAACTTATAAAATCATTAAATCCTATACCCATATATTCCCAGGCACCAACCCTCAAAATATGTACTCATAAGCAACATGTCCTTTATTATTTAATTTAATTTTCTCCTAACATGATATACAAAAGTTACAATACTTTTAAAATATATACTAAACATTAATATTATTTATTAAAAAAAACAAAACACATAAATTTTTTACACATCAGTCTTAAAAGAACTTTACAGTAAAAGCTAACTTTAAAAATTACATAATTATTGTATAAAAAATTTCATGATTCATGGACCTAGCAAATGGGCCGAGTTGATCGAGTTTAGATTTGAGTTATCTCGAATCAAAGGTTTGTTTCATTAAGTTACTTTAAGTATCAAATTAGAGAAATGAACCCATAAAGGCATGTACAACTCATGCTCTATTCTTTGTTCTCTTCAGAAGTGACAACAAAACTTTAACTTTTTATCCAATGAAGCATTTTTAAAAGGATAATGATAAAATGGATGATTTTATAGGATGAAAATAAAAATTGATAGGTGTAATAAGGTCAAAGTGTAAGATACAAAATAATTAATTTAACTTTATCACACTTATCGTCATTTGTTTTTGTTTCATAAAATCGTCATCCCTGTCATTAGTTTTTTTAAAAAAATAGTTGAGCTCTCTACAGTGAGCTCGGCTCTCTTAATTATTTTTTTTTTGTCAAAAAAAGGAGTAAAAATGGCATTGCATTGTCTCTTTTGAGGCAATTTTTTCTGATTCTTTGACATGCACTAGCGTCATATCAATCAATGCCTCACTTTCACTTGAAGCTGCTGCATTTTCTCTCCTTTTTTTTTTTTTTTTAAAAAAATTAATTTTAATTTTTTTATAAAAGTCAAAATTAATATATATTTTTTTATTAAATACAATATATTTTTATATTTTTATGATATTAAAATATTAAAAAACCTGCTGATTCAATTATAAAACATTACTCTCAAAGTCAACCTTAGTATATGCTTTAGAGAATGAGTGTTTTATTAGATGGGCTATCTATGTTTAATGATATAAAATGTAAATTTATATAAAATAATATTAATTATAAAGATAGAGCACCAAAATAAGCTTTTTTTTTATTATTTTTCATTGTACGTACTCTAATTCATTCACATAAATTTCAAGTTGGGTCAAATCCTCCTAACCTTTTTAAAATTAAAAATTTTTAATTTTCTCCCTTTTTTTCTTAAAAAATTTAATGTAATAAATTAAGTAACTAAAAAAATTTATTAAATCTATTAATCTAAAATAATTATAAAAATATTATATTTTTATTTTTATTTAATAATTAAAATTAAAAGTATATTTAATTAATATTTTAAAATTTTAAAAAATAATTAATTTTTATCCCACCATTTTAAATTTCGAGTCGGAACCATGGAATCACGACTCAACCGTAGCAGGTAAGTCAAGTCGGGCCCTTAAAATCAAGTACAATTCTACCAGGCCTACCTTCTTCGGTCATATCAATCATTGTTTCCCCAAAGAAGATAAAACAAACACAACACCAAGTTTTTTATTTTTATATTTTGAGCAGGAATACAACAAGAAGTATCGGTTGTCTTTTTCTCACATTGGCTCATAACTTGCTAATTAATCACGTGTAGTTAGTTAATTATACTTAAATAAAAAAAATATAAACTCACAAAATGTGATGAATTTATTGTTTCAGTATGTGGTCCCAACAATTACCCCAATCAAATCATAAATATTGGATGTGATTATGGCTATATGTCTAAATATTAAGATCATACAAATATTGTTTAATTTAATTTATATTTTTAATTAATTAATTATGATATCTGAAAATATTAATTTATAAATTAATTTTAATTTGATATTAATTTTAACTATTAAGTTAAATAAAGTCAATACTTTTAAAATAATTAATATGTGAACTTGACATTTTGCCTTGCAGCTATAATCAGAATACCTTCCAACTACTACTACTAATTGTGCACATTTTCTCTTAGAAACACATTGATTGTGATTAGTCAAATAGAGAAGTAGATAGCTACAACACTTCTTTCCCATAGGATAACTTTTGGTTAATTAATTTCACCTATTCAAGATCATACTTATAAGGTTTAGTTAAGGTTTCCTTTTAATATAGTTTTGGTATTTAACTGTTAATTTTTATTTTCTACATATTTAGTAATTATTATTATATTTAAATAAATATAATAACTTAAAATTTTATAATAAATTTTAATTTTTAAATATAGTAATAATTACTAAATATATAAAAAATAAAAATTTAAAATTCAAAACCAAAACCATACTAAATGAAACTTTAAATTTTAATTTAATTTTGACACAAATTTCTATGAGTTTATTCAATCACATTTATTTGCAAGGCAAAAAATGAATTTGAAATATTTACCAAGGATGAAACAATTTTAAACTAGAGCATATAAATTTTTTTTTTGAATTATATAATGAGATATAACCTTTTTCTATGTCTTGACTCACTCTATTTGTATGTCATACACTTTAAATTTAATATTTTTTACTTTCACTTGAAAAAGATTTCTACTGAGTTATTTAAATTGTTAGCAAAGCATATAATTTGTTTATTAGCTAATTATAATTTATAGCTGCTACCTTTCTTTTTGAAATTTGATTGGTGACCAAGGATTTGATCTAGACCCATAAAATCTCAACATATCTTTTAATCAGTGGATTAAAGGTTCATTCATTGGATTCAAGATCACAGTAAAAAAAGGGGAAAAAAAAAAACTAAATTCAAGCACCTATTATTAGGTTAAGACATTATTAGCTGGACTACATATGTATAGACATTATATGGTGAAAAAGAGAACCAAATTCCTCATAGAAATAATTCATATGAATATGACATGTTATAGAATGAAAACGCGTAAATTTAACCTGTCAAATGTCAAATACAGAATAAGGTTAATACAATATTATATGTAGGTCATACAGTAATGAAGAATTCAATGAATCAAACAAATTTAGGTTTAATCACTAGGTATTGAACAAAATCAAATCTCTCATAAGGGAAGTTGGCAAAAAAACAATTCTCTCATGAAAGAAAATGCACGAGAATTTGACGTGTTATAAAACAAAATGAACAAATTACAAAATCAAATCTCTTGTAAAGAAAACCACGAGAATTTGATGTATAAGGTAATAAGATAAACACATTACACGTAAATCTGACGTGTAACAGATAACAACGAATTTAATGTTGTGGTTGGTGACAAAGAGGCTAATGAAAACACTCACAAAAAATAAAGAATCAAATCTGGAGACTAGATTTACTTGTTAATTTTAAACATTTTTTCTTTAATTTGCTTTTCTACCGGATACCGATTAATTGTAACTAGTCAAATATAACCACAAAATAAGGTTAAAAGTATTTTCTTTTTTTTTTATTTGCAAAATTTAAGATAATTCTTTTCTACTCCTTTAATTTCTACTCATGTACCACTTGACTCAAATTTCATATAATTACAATTGAGTTACTTTGTCCCTTGTTTGCAAAGAAAGTCAATAGTTCAACCATTCATAATAACTAACTTAGTTGACAATAAAAAAAAAAATGATCAACTACAATAAACAAGTCCTTTTCATTAAGGTTCTTAATTTCACTAATTTTTCATAAAAGTTGACCAAATGTGAATTAAATTTATTAATTTTTATAGGGGGTTAACAGAAGATAAACACAAACTAGGGGTATTAGGTAATCGTTAGGTAACAGA